CTATGAGGAGAGGCTGAGGGACCTGAATCTCTTCAGTCTCTGCAAGAGGAGACTGAGGGGGGATCTTGTGGCTGCCTACAACCTTATCAGGGGCCAGCAGCAGGGACTCAGGGAAAGTCTGTTCACCAGGGTCCCCCTTGGAGTCACCAGGAACAATGGCCACAAGCTGAGGGAGGATAGGTTTAGGTTAGATATTAGGAAGAACTAGTTCATGGTAAGGGTGGCCAGAGCCTGGAATAGGCTTCCCAGAGAGGTGGTGCTCTCACCTTCCCTGGAGATCTTTAAGAGAAGACTGGATAGGCACCTGACTGGGGTCTTATGACCCCTGCCCCCCCCAGTGCTCCTTCCTGCCCATGGCGGGGGGTCGGACTAGATGATCTGTCTAGGTCCCTTCCGACTCATTGATTCTAAGGATGTGGACAAGCATGAGAGAGAGAGAGAAAGTACTATTGATGGATAATAAAATAATCAATTATGATGGATAATGAAATAATGGATTCTGAATTAACGAATAATGATGGATAATGAATATCCATCAACAGTACTGGAGATTGCCACATGCGGTTTAGCTGCCCTACTTAAATGATTACCTGTGAATACCAGTGGTTCTTACTTACAAAGTTCCTTACATCATTTCTACCATTCTACTAACTTTCCCCACATCAGATCTATGTCTTTTAACCTAATAGCGATGCTATAAATGACTTGGCAAACATTTACTGTTCGGAGAAAGAGCAGGGACCAATATAGGTTTTGCAAACACATATTTCAGGGTGTATAGAGTTGGCAGATGTGTCTATCCCAGGCCATTGAGAACAAAGTTCAATGTCAATATTTTAAATTTAAATTAAAGGTTGAAGGGGAAGGGGAGAGAGTCAATCAACTCTGCCCATTCAGACTTCTCTCAACTCACCTTCCCAAATACTTCATTAAATACATAATTTATTTAATCTGCCAGGCCCAGCATTATCACCACTCTTTCTGCAATGTCTTGATACCCATCAGTACCTGCCTGGACACCTGTGTAGATATCCCAATAACCACTCCATCTAAATTGAAATCGCATATAAAATTATTTGCCTACTTCTGTACATTTCTAGACTGCAGTCCTTCTAGGTCAGAGAAAGCCAAGAGATAGGAAGATAAAGCCTTGGCTGGGATGATCTACTTGAGGATGGTCCAGCTTTGAACATAGGTTGGACTAGATGACATCCTGAGGTCCCTTCCAACCCTAATTTTCTAATGAGTCTATGATGCTATTTTTGGAGAACTTGAAATTGACATCTTGTTATTA